TATATATATATATATACATATTAGGGGTGCAACAATACATGTATCTGTATCGAACCGTATTGAACCGTGTCGAACAATTCAGATTTTAAAAATTTATTTTGTCAACTTGTCTTCTGAAGATGCTCTGTGTTGAAGGATCAGTAGATCTGTGTTCAACTACTCCACCTAGGCTGCATTTTTGAGCTCAGGTCCACTGAGAAACTTGCTGTTTCAGCAACATTTAATAAAAAAAACTGTACTTTTGAGGTTAAACAAATGTTCATAATTAATATAAATAAATTACAAGTTAAAAGGGGCATGGAAATTTCTCTTTTTTGCATAGAAAAAATATATGTAAGCATACAAATCCATTACACCAACAAAAGTGCATCCAGTATTTTACAGTATAGAGTATTTGCCTCTGTGATTTTCTTTCTATTTACAGTATATTGACGTTTCAATGACCAGGCTCCTTGTACTGCCTTGTATTGTTTTGTTCACAATCATTAGACATGTGTGATCTATTTTGAGATGTTGTGTTTCAGATCAGACAGCAGTGCTGTACACTCTAAAAATGAAATGTTGGATTTACTTAACCATGTTATGTGACCTGGTTCCACTTAACTGAGTTGAGTAAATTCAAAACAACATGCTCATGTTCTTTGGTTAAAAAACTGGTACATTGCTTTGAATTTACTCATCTCAGTTAGGTGGAACCAGGTAACATAACATGGTTAAGTAAATCCAATATTTCATTTTTTACAGTGTATTTGTGTCTGACTTTAGCTACCTGTGCTAATCATTGTGGAACCCATGTGAATCAAAGAGCAAAATGTGTTTTGGTGACTGGTGAGTGAAAATAGGTCTGCAAGTTGTGTCTAACTGGGTGAAACGTGCTTGGAGTTCGGACAAAAGGGTGCCCATTCAAATAAATGGGTTCAAGGAACTGAAAATTTGGGTGTTTTAGCAACTGAGATAAACTGTAAGTCAAAATGGGAAGGAGAGCTGGGTGTAAAAATTTCAGAGGGTGATTGGATCTCAATGTGTGACACAGCAGACATCTACTAGTTCTAAAAGATGGAGGGAATTTGGTTGGACGCGCCTAAATAAATTTTCATTTCACCGCAAATTACTAATAGACAAAGAGGAGAACAACTGTAATGTGGCAGAACTTCAATAACTCACATACTTCGGTCCCGTCCAAAGTTAGTATCATTTTGGGACAGAAGAAGAGACTCCTGCAGGTGGATCATTGGCAAGGAATTGTGGGGGAGAGTCACTCTATGGAAAAACTGATTGTGTATCAAAAGACACACTTTCAGCAACAGAAGCACTCAATAGATTGCTTTGTATATTTTGTAAGGGCATCCTTGTTGTAACTTCATATTATGCATTATATAGGTGTTATATAGTTGAGTGGGATACTTCTTGCTCTTACCTGCCATGCAGTGGATGAAAACTAGCTGTTGTACTGATGCTCACTGCTGACATGTTAAATAATACGCACTGTCCAATTTAAACAAACTAAAAAATTTAAATTTGGCTCACTTTGAGTGTAAAATCATAGTTAAAGATTTGCATTTTATTCTTATTTAGCTCACTGATGTTTTATTTTTCTAAGAGACATTTTTGGACATTTTACTTTTCATTTGGCACCCAATAGTAACTCATTATTGGTATTATAAAATCTAAAAAATATATAAAATAAAAAAAGCATAAAAACTTTCATTTGAAGAAAACATTTCATTTGAATAGTGGAACCAGTGCATTGACTGGTACCTCCCGCACACATACGAGCACTTAAATACACACACATACACAAACTCTAAAGACACAACTGTGCTATAGTTATGTGTTGTAATGATAATGATTGTAATAACCTATAGTTTTACTTGAATATTTTTTTCAAGTATAAGAATATTTAAAATCCCATCAATTCCCATCAATAACTTGAATAAACATATATATAT